AGGTCTGTCGGCGAGTCGCGGACGCGAGTGTGTACTCGACATCCGTCCGTGTACTCGAGGTCTGTCGGCGAGTCGCGGACGCGAGTGTGTACTCGACATCCGTCCGTGTACTCCACGTCCGCGTACTCGACGTCCGTCTACTCGACGCCCGCGTACTCCACGTCCGCATACACGAGGGCGGTCGGCGGATCGCGGACGCGAGTGTGTACTCGACATCCGTCCGTGTACTCCACGTCCGTCCGTGTACTCCACGTCCGCGTACTCCACGTCCGTCGGCAGGTCGCGGACACAAATTATTTCAAGTTTCAGAAAATCTTTTTCAAATTTGAAATAGTCCATGTACTCGACTTTCGTCTACTCGACGTCCGCGTACTCGAGGTCAGCGTACTCGACGTCCGCGTACACGAGGTCGGTCGGCGGGTCACGGACGCGAGTGTGTACTCGACATCCGTACGTCTACTCCACGTCCGTCTACTTGAATCCGACCGTGTACACCACGTCCGCGTACTCGACGTCCGTCGTCGGGTCGCGGACACAAATTATTTCCAGTTTCAGAAAAAAAATTTCAAATTTGAAATAGTCCATGTACTCGACGTTCGTCTACTCTACGTCCGAGTACTCGACGTCCGCGTACTCGACGTCGATCGGCGGGTCGCGGACGCGAGTGTGTACTCGAGTTCCGTCCGTCTACTCCACGTCCGTCTACTCGATGTCCGTCCGTGTAATCCACGTCCGCGTATTCGAGATCCGTCGTCGGGTCGCGGACTAAAATTATTTCAAGTTTAAGAAAATTTTTCCAAATTTGAAATAGAGAAATGAAATTTGAAACGGCGTACGCGACGACGGTAGTCGAGTCGAGGACACGTCCGTCTACTCGACGTCCGTCTGTGTACTCAACGTTCGTCTACTCGACATCAGCGTACTCGAGGTCGGTCGGCGGGTCGCGGACGCAACTATGTACTCGACATCCGTCCGTCTCCTCCACGTCCGTCTACTCCACGTTCGCGTACTGGAGGTCGGTCGGCGGATAGAAGACGCGAGTGTGTACTCGACTTTCGTCCGTCTACTTCACGTCCGTCTACTCCACGTCCGTCTACTTCACATCCGTCTACTTCACGTCCGTCTACTCCACGTCCGCGTACTCTAGGTCGGTCGGCAAGACGAGGACGCGAGTTTTTACTCGACTTCCGTCCGTGTACTTCACGTCCGTGTACTCGACGTCCGTCCGTGTACTCAACTTCCGTCTACTCGACGTTCGTCCGTGTACGCGACGTCCGTCCGTGTACTCGACGTCCATCTACTCGACGTCCGCGTACTCCACGTCCGTCGTCGGGCCGCGGACACAAATTATTTCCAGTTTCAGAATAAAAAATTTTCAGAAAAAGTTGAGATAGAGACGCGTCCGTGTACTCGACATCCGTCTGAGAATCGCGGACGCGTCCGCGTATTCGCCGTCGGTAAGAGATCCGAAGAGGCATCCGTGTACTCGACGTCCGTCTGAGGATCGCGGACGCGTCCGTGTACTCGACGTCCGTCTGAGAATCGCGGACACGTCCGTGTACTCGAAGACCGTCTGAGAATCGCAGACGCGTCCGCGTACTCGACGTCCGTCTGAGATTCGCGGACCCATCCGCGTACTCGACGTCGGTAGGAGATCCGAGAAGACGTCCGTGTACTCGACGTCCGTCTGAGAATCGCGGACGCGTTTGTGTACTCGAAGTCCGTATGAGAATCGCGGACGTCTTTGATTCGCACCTTCGATTTGTTTGCGACGTCCTTCTGCAATTCAGGTACACGACAGTGTAATTTCCTAAACTTTTTCTAAATCCAGACTCTTCAAAATTTTTTTAAGTCCAGAAAAGTCGAAAATCTCCGAACATCATGCAGACCGAAGTCGTTCGCGACTGACTGCGTCGGGCGGCCGGCGTCGTTCGCGAAGGTCGACGAAAGTCAAGCTCCCCGAATTCTTTTTTTTTTAAGTTCAACATTCAAAATATTTTCTAACCGGCGTCGGTCGCGACGAACGAAGTAGGTCGATGCGGTTGGCGTCCGTCGTTGCCGCGGGCGTCGGACCCGAAGAAAAGAGTCGGTCGTGGTCCAGTTTCTATTTTTTTTTTCCAATTTCAACTTTCAAAAAAGAAAATTTTCTCACAGGATTCGATCCCGGCGGACTGAGTCTGTCTCGGAAACCGGCGCCGGTGGAGACGAACAGAGGCAGCCGGCGCCGGAAACGACGAACTGTTCCGGTCGACGTCGTTCGAGAAGGACAGCGGCGGTTGAGGCTGCCGAAAAAATTCAAGTTTTTAATTTTGTTAAAGTTTTAAATTACCATCGCGTCAGCCGACGTCAGTCGTGAGGGACAGAGTTTATCGTTGCATCCGGCGCCGGTTGCGACAGACAGACTCGGTCGTGGCGGTAAACGTCGTTCATGACGGACTGCCTCCATCGTGTACACGAGTCTGCCGTGCACGCTTGTACGTACGAGTCAACACTATACGCATGCTCGTTCGAGTCATCAATCGTGTACGGCCTGACACGACGACGTTCCAGGTGCACCGTTCCTTTGTCGATCCCCCATTTTCGACAAATTTCACGACGACTTACCAGGTGCACCATGTACGTCGTTGTCCTCCACACCGGCCTTGTACAAATACAAACAATAGAAAAATACGACAGATTTCGTGATTTCTTTTTTTGGAATATATTTTATTTTACTAATTTTGAACAAAGTCTTTCTCGCGACAGAAAACGTACTCAGGAACGTCCAGCATCTCGGCGAGAAGGCGCCTACCGCACGCGAACGTCATGCAAGACAGCAGCGGCATCATCGTCTCCAGATCTTGAATTTCTCTCTTGACCCAGGGTTTCAACGGTATGCCGGTCTCATGTGTATAAGAGACAGGTCGTCAGGAATTCCTGCCAGGATTTCGAACACGCGTCCACGACTTGGTGTAGAGTCTTGGCCGATATCGCGGTCGAGGAAGTCGCCGAATGCGTGTTTGCGACGTCGGCGGGGACGGAACCGAGCAGGACGTTCCTGACGCGTACGTCGAGCGCGTGGGTCGCCTGTTCGACTCCGGAGTAAGACTTCGCGTTAAACTCGCACGCCAGCATGCTCCTCTCGTATCCCACGTCCTCCGTGGCGACGTCGGGAAGACCGTGCATCCCTCCGTGCCTCCGAGCTGCCAAGCTGCTCCTCAGATTCTCCTTCTCCCTCCGGCACCGCGCAAGGTCGGCGAGCAGCTTCTGTTCCTTGTCCACGGCGGCGGCCTTTTGCGCATCGCTAAGTAGGGAAGCCGCTCGCGGAACTCCGATCGTTCTCGCGTGGACGAGATTTTCGACAGCCTTACCCGTCACGCGATCTTCGTCCTCTTCGTAGTCGGCGTCCGGAGTCTTTTGCCCGTCCCTGGGACCGGTCACGATGAAGTTAACGGCAGAGTTTCGGACTGCGGCCAGGTTGTAGTCGGTAAGCGCCCTGACGTTCTCGTGACAGACGGCCAGGTAGGACACGGCGCTTCGAAGTCGACCGTCGACGCTCGGACTATGTACGATCGTGACCTGTCTCTTATACTCCTCGGTCATGACGGACCTGACGTGGAGGACGCCTTCCCGATTTCTGAACACCAGACATTCGTCCAAGTCCACCGCGACCGGGATTCCGTCGCAACACGTAGTCGCGACGAACCCGTATATCCACACTGATCTGATGACGTCGCGGACGAACCGGTCGAGGTGCGCTTCGTATCGTTCGCAGAACGCGGAGACCACGTCCTCCGACGGCCAGGGCATCTCCACAGTCGACTCTCCGTGCACGACGGTGCCCACGTTCGAGCGCATACCGTGCTCGAACATGGCTTGCACCGATATCGCCTTGCTCAATCTCGTCAGGATGCACATGCACATCGGTAGTTCGTCGAAGGTCTTCCTGACTCGTCGACATTGCTCCTCGTCCAGGAGATAGAGTTCGGCATTCTTGAATTCCTCGTTCACCCTACGCATGCAAGCGTCGCGCCTGTTCGCCACGTGGTGAACGTACTCCCTCGAGTCGAGGAACATTAGCGTCGCGTTCGCTTAACGTGTGCACGTCCGAGATGAACGTTTCGCTGTCCGCGGTGATCCTTTTCACACTACTATCCATAGTTTTCCAACACCGGGGCAAGACGTACGCGCCGCGTCGTGCGTTATTGGCCACGGGCGACCTCGTCGTGTTGCCGGGAGGCAAATCTGTCGGAACGAACGTGATATCGGGAGATTCCGCGTGGAGAACGCGTGGAGATCGTTCGTCGCTTCGTTACCTCCGGGTTTGCACTGTCGGAGCGTCGAACCGGTCATGATAGACGACGACGTGT